TGTGTGTGTGTGTGTGTGTGTGTGTGTGTGTGTGTGTGTGTGTGTGTGTGTGTCTCACAGGCCCTCATATCTCGCTGTCTGTGTGTAAGATAAGCCCAAAGCTGGCGGCGCTGAAACACCAGCATGAGATGAGCTCTCTGTGCAGCTACGGGCTTGTGTGTGTGTGTGTGTGTGTTTGTGCCAGACAGCATGCATAAAGTGGTGCGCGCCTCTGTGCACGTCCTTGTGTGTTGGTGTGTGTGCGCGTGGGAGCCCCAGGGGCCTGCCCCGGGCTTATCACACACAGGCAGTGAGAGACGAGCTTCCTGAGCGAGGGAGAGAAAGAAAGGGTGGGAGGGAAAAAAGGGGGAGGGAGGGGTGGCCGTGTTGTTTGAGCAGCGGTCAGCGCCTTGTTTGTGTAGTCTCAGGTTCCTCCCCCCTCACCACCCCCCTCCCTCTTTTAGCCTCTCCACACGAGGAGCAGGAGGGGGCTGGGGGTGAAAAGAGGGAAGAGGGAAAAAAATGTTCGAGAGAGACGCATAAATCAGAGAGACGAGCCAGCTTCTCTGGAGCACGGCTGACTGAACCCTGCTGCTGCACTGCAACCTGTGTGTGTGTCTGCGTGTGTGTGTGCAAAAGGCAGGGAGAAAAACAGCCGCCGCCGCTGCTAACCACAGTCACCACGGCACATTAGAGGGCCATTAGAACGCGATTATACTCCCAGTGCTTACCTCTCATTCACACTGCTGCTCTCTCCCATTCAGCCTCACKCACATAATCATCGATACACACTCCCCTCATCATCATAAATGTGTCCAACAGACACACACAACTATAAAGCAACTCAGGAGTGTGAGTGCCAACGCGAAGAGTTTTGAACGCACATAAAGTGGACACACAAACTGCAGCTATAAAGTGGCATCGAAAATGCTAAAGATCAATAAATCAATTTGTAAAATCTGTCAACACTGGGTGGGAAACGTTTAGGACATGCAGGAGAACAAGACAGCAGGCCATCCAAGTTTAATTAAAAGCTTCAGCGCGGCGGGAGCTGTGCGTAYGAGCGCACATATTTCTCTTCTTTTTGTTGTTATGTGTGGAGAAGAATCTGGTTTAGGAGCGAATGATCGGCAGCTACACACAACGGCAGAGTGGGGGAAAAAAGGAAAGAAAATCTCCCRATGCTGGCGAGAGGCAGCGAGCATCCGTCTCCATCTAACGATCCCAGCGATCCCTCATGCTGCCTGCGCACGTCCGTGTGCGCCTGCGTGTGTCACACTTCGCCTCACGGAGAATTAATGAGATGTGAGAGCGGTGGGAGGCGGAGGGTTGGGTTGGGTTGGTGTGTGTGTGTGTGTGTGTGTGTGTGTGTGT